ACTCCAGGATGGATGTATGATTCCAATCATGAAAAACATCAACAGGAAATCAAGGACAGAGGTCAGAATTGACTAGATTTGTTTGTTTGTATATTATTATCTATTATACTTGTTAAGGTTGATAGATGGATGTCTTTCATATCAGCACGTTTATCTATAGTAAGAAGTGGAATAGAATATTTTTATTACACAGGGTTGAGTTTAGACGAGACGTCCAAATATAAATAACAACTTGTATTAATTTTACATTGTAGGTATTCAATCTGATTAAATTAAGTCTTTTTTCGACTTTTGAGTATAATGGTTTTTCATTTTTTGGTGTTTTTGACTTCTGTGTGCGAAGCACACAATGGAGTCTTTACAGTTACCCTGTCTGTATGTGTGTGTGTGTGTGTGTGTGTGTGTGTGTGTGTGTGTGTATGTGTGTGTGTGTGTGTGTGTGTCCGTCTGTTCCACTGATATCTCAAGAACCATACATCGGTTTTTGATGAAACTTGGTGCATAGATGCTCTGGGTCAATGCGCAGATTTGATTAGGTTTTGGTAGAAATTCATGCATATTAATTACCTAATTTGCATGATAATTAGCTCATTTTTAGCTGTTCCATGACTGTTCCATTGATATCTGAAGAACCACTCATTGAATTTTAGTGAAACTTGGTACATAGATGCTCTGAACTTATGCGCAGATTTGATTAGTTTTTAGTAAAAATCTGTGCATATTAATTACCTAATTTGCATGATACTTGGCTAATGTTTAGTTGTTCCATGACTGTTCCACTGATATCTAAAGAACCACTCATTGAATTTTGATGAAACTTGGTTCGTAGATGCTCTGAACTAATGCCAGCTTTTGAAAATCTGTGCATATTAATTACCTAATTTGCATAATGATTAGTAATTTTCGGCTTTTCCACTGATATCTCAACTACTAATCATCACATTTCAATTAAACTTGATACCTAGATGTCATAGGACACTGCACAGACCTAGTAGTTTTTAGGGTAATATCAGTACATATTAATTACCTAATTTGCATAATAAATTAATTTTCAGCTTTTGATATTTCAAGTAGTAAGCATTGCATTTCAATGAAACATGGTACATACTCAAGGACTATGCAGAGATCTATTGTTTTGGGATAAATATTTGTGCATATTAATCACCTAGTTTGCATAATTAGTTCATTTTCGGATTTTCACATATATCTCAAGTACTAATCATCACATTTCAATGAAACTTGGTACATAGATCCTCTAGGACTATGCAGAGATCTGATTAGTTTTGGGGTAAATAATTGTGCATATTAATTAACTTATTTGCATAATTATTTAATTTTCAGCTTTTTCACTGATATCTTGAGTACTAATCATCACCTTTAAGGTAGAGATGTAGTTTACCTGACAGGTATTTTAATTAGTTAATTAGGAAATCAAGAACTATATATTTTCGGAAAGCTTATTGTATGAATTTTAAAATTTTGTTAGTATTTTTTTTTATGAACATTGTAGTTTGAAATATGCACGAAAATGTGCTTTTTTGGTCATTAGTAATTTAAAAAAAATTAGCTTCTACACCATGCTTCTGTTTCCTGTGAAAATTGGTTTATGGGTACATCTGTTTACTATGAAGAAAGTGCCATCTTGAAAACTGTCTATCAGTTGTCAATTTTGCAGGGCAGCAGCTCAAATTTCACTACTTCAAGTTTATGCATGAATTAACACCAAGGCTAGTTGTCTGTACGATTGTTGTAACACTGTTCAACCAAAAACAATGCCCCAACGGCGGAGTTTTGAAGATAAACACATTGTCAATCATTTGCAAAAATTTAGAAACAAAAGGTCAAAGCGTCTAGGAGCTATTTATTTTTAAAGTTCTGGGATGTGCACTAAAAAGAAGCGGAGATAATTGCTAATTTGCATAACAATTCACTCAGTAAGAAGTTTGCTAATGCTCATAATTAAAATGGCTGTAACAGTTTCAAATTTAAATGTACCGGTACTATCGTTTTGTAAAAAGTTAAATATAGTGCATAATATGGAGATCCCGTCATTACTTTTTTTCACCATGTTTCTTTTTGATTATTTATGTACAGCCTTGCTAAATCTTGCTAAGCATTCAAAAGAGAGAATGTTTGCACCTGTTATCTATATTTTAAAATCGTTTTTTGAGTATGTTCCACTATTCACAATTCTACAAAATTTTAACAGTCTATAGCCAAGACTGTTTGAATAATAAAAAGCAAAAAAAAAACAAAATTTCACTCCCAAGTGCCCACAAACCTGCATCTCTACCTTGAATGAAACTTTGTACATAAATGCTCTAGGACAATGTACAAATATGATCAGTTGTGGGTTAAAATTTGTTCATATACAAAAACTGTAAATTCCCTAATTGGCATAATAATTCATAATTGTTTGGTTCTGATCATATTTCAATTAAACTTGGTACATAGATGGTCTGTTACATTGCGCAGACCTTATTAGTTTTACACTCTGTTCATTTTAATTTTCTGATTTGCATAATTAGTTTTCAGCTTTTCCATCAATATCTCTAGTACAAGTAATTTTAAATAAATTTTTACTGTGTCTCTAATACTCTCAGCACACGGGAGTTCTTTCTAAGCTTTCTTTGATTATTATTTAAACTGCGGCTTCGTTAGTTCATAGGCGAATATGACAGGCCTGGTTGGCCATGATAATAGCGGGGTGTATTTAAGGCGCTCGTCAACAAATACATGCCCGACAATACATGTGCTTGTATGCCAAGTATGCTTCTCAAATTTAATATATGATGTTCCCGACAATTAAAAAGTACTAATTTGTCTCGAAATAAATTGAAAGATCCTGCAAAAAATGTTATGGTTCCTCAATTATATCCCTGCAGTGAAATGTGTGTGCGTCTGTGTTCAACCCTTTCTGTAACGTATGTGTCATGCATATATTCGTGTATATTGGGCGTTGGGCAACTGGGTATGCCTGCATCACACAGCTGTATCATAAAGTGTTTTTTTTAATTTGTTGCTTTTTTTTTCACGTTGCATAACGTCATTATAACACATAACACATTATGGCAAACATTGTGTAGGTCATTTAAATAAACAACAATTATTTATGATATTGTACTGTTCCATGCAAGAATGGAACTAAATAAGAAACTCCATGATGCAAGTAAGATAACTGCTATCAAAAGTTTACATGGGCCTTGCGGGTGTTAAACAACACGATTCAATGAATCCTTTCAAATAGGATAATAACGTAATGCATAATGTTAGCTTACGAAATTAACACCTGTGTACCAAGTAAACAACTGGGATGATCATGCAAATTACATTTCCCATGATGCATTGGTGCAATCCCTGGGATTGTGGAGCCACGCTTTAGGGATTTTGTGAAAGTCATTGACTTGTGTCAAATGACACCAAAGAAATTTTCACTATTACCAAATATCATGATTTTTTAAGAATCCTGAAATTTGTGAAAAATTTGTTTCTCCTGAGATTGAAGTGGTTTACATTATTATTCCTGGTAATATGTTTATCCTCATTTACATTTTATTTCAGGAACAAATTTTACATTCATACCAAATTTAGAAAGAATATTATTAAGATTACATCATATGTATGCAGTAGGAGAACATCCAACTTTGTCAAACTCTGTCACTGTTAACTTAAATGTAAGTATACAAGTTTACTTCATGTGATACAAATCAATAGTCACCATAGATTAGCTCTGCTACAATTAGAATGTATCTAATTCACCCTTCGAGAAATTTTCAGGCTTTTTGGATTTTATGGCATTCATGAACAATTTTTTGAAAGTCAATGATTCTCCACTGCTACAAAATTTTGGGATTAA